TGGTCTCCACACTTTTCGCCCAGGCAAGAACCTTCAGGTCTGCGTAGATGGGTGCACACCACAGATCCATCTTCAATGTACTCTTCAGGTCTGCGAACATGAATGACGTTCCCGCCAAGTGCATATTCGTAGATCCGAGTGCGAATCTCCGCCGGCAACTTGAGGAATAGCGAGTGTGTTCCGTTGACAGCCGATCTGTTTGATACATTGTAATCGTGTGGCCTGAATCCGATGGATTGAACATTGCTTACAGTTCTTTGCCATGTCTCAGTGACTTCTGGAGGTTCAACAGTCTCGACGGTCTTGGGACTCCAGATTGCGGCATGGTGGTAGCTTGTCGGCTTTTGAGTGTCGGTGTTTGGGTGGATTATGTAAGTGAGCAACTTGTCTTGGAGTTGACTCGTTGACAGATGTTGGTAACAGTGATCAAATAGTTATCGTTAGGCTGATGGAAGAGGTGTACTGAGAGTTGCAAAAGAAAGAGGAGAACTGAGCCTTCTTATCATGGAGTAGATGAGTATACAGTTATGATCCAATTATCACACTAAGAAAAGCTTAAATACATATATATGTATGGTGAATATTCTCTCTCATTGACTATACCAATCTACATCTATGGTATACCATTATCCTTCGTCTCTAAATGATCCGTCTTTAGATGTTCTGTCATTTGTCTCTCATGTTCGCTATGTACATGTCTTCCTTTTGTTATCAGGTATATCAACCATATATGTGTATATATGCATATCTATAATCCAATTTGAACTGTATGCCATATTTTTTCGTCGCGAAATGATTCTTCTCTAAATTTCGTACAATATCCCTCTCACATTCAACATGTGTATCTCGTGTCTTTCTAGGTATTTCCAAGGTATTGTCATAATCTACGAGAGTTCGTTCACTTGTGGTCGGCTGAGCCCCGCAAATATCGCGCACGCGCCTCCTAGCCAACATAGGGCACAGGCCATCAACACCGTCATTGTTGATTTGCTATATTACCTACAGTACCTACATTCATGGTGCGACTGAAACCTGCAACACCCTTAACATATCGCAGTCGCAAGAAGTCCATCCCACTTCCTCTGTCGGATTGCCACAACTACCGCACTACACACACACTCATACATAAACATCATGGCTCTATCATCAGCTGAACACACTCGCAAACGCCAATACCAACCACCAATCCACTCGTTCTTCCAACGCAATGCCCACACCAGCGCAGGTTCCGGATCTAGCCCTGCCTCACACTCGACGTCACCCTTGTCGCCGCCGCTCCCAGCAGAGACACAATCCTCTCTCCTCAGCGTAGGCATGCGCGTGAGGAAGAGCGTTCCCGAAGGCTACAAGACGCACAAGACAATGCCGACAGAAGCATTTCCGTTTCCTAGCTCTGCTCCCGCCGTCGCAGAACCGACTCTTCGACCATCCTACAACGCCGCCAGCTCTCGCGAACTTGCCCCGTTCTGTGGACTTCACAAAGTTGGAGGCTTCTCCGCGCAAGAATCCCTCGCTCCACCGTCTTCGGCACAACCGGCCTTCCACAGCGTAAACGAAGTCGCCAACTCGATGCCTGGCTTGAGCATGTCGCAGAGCTCTGTCGCGTCAACACCAGGAAGTTCAGTGTCTTGCGTCGCTTCGAAGACCGCAAACAAGCGCTCGTATGACGACGAAGCCGAGGATGATGTGGACGCGTACTTTGACGAGGTCGAGGCCGAGGAACAAACAGCGCCAGTTGAAGCACGACGGATCGCAAAGCTCAAAAACTCACCGCGCAAGCAAGCCGCTGGACGTGTCGCTGGTTTCGGTTCGACAATCGCTGTGGAAGGTGACTTCGAGGAAGCTGCTTTCCTGGCGCCTATGGAGACGAATATGTGAGACGCTTCGTCAGATTTCGTCTTTGATGGGAGTGGTTGTCGAGACTGTGTACTATGTGAGAGATTCGGCGTCTGGGTAAGGAGCAAAGCGCATTACGACCGTTCGGGGATGTACGGTCAACGTCAGGTAACAGGTTATTGTCGCTAGTCATGCTCCAACGAAGTAACCCTTGGCGGTTGGGACGTTCGGCAACATCCATAGAAGGAACAGTGAAGAAAAGTCCACTGCCTTCTAGTCTGACGAGATCCGGCTCTTTGCCGACAAAAGATTGCTTTTCAGTGGGCCTATGTTGATTGTTAAAGGCCGATGTGGGCTTCTATGGAGAATTCTTCGGGTTACCGGATTGGGAAGTGGTCTTTTTTAAGGCGATGAGATGGAAAGCTTCCTTGTTACCTACCCTACCGCTACGTAGGGCGCAAAAGCTCTGTGAGAATGTCAGCCCGGACTTCTTAGAACCTCAATGGGGGGTTTGTGTTTTGAGGCGTCGCTTTCCAGAAGTCTGTGTTCTGCTGAAATGAGCGGCTCCTTTGTCCACGCTGGAGTTTCGCTCAGGTCTGGACCACGAGGTCATTGTTCGACCAGGTAGGCAGAGTCTTACAGGTCAGTCGCGAAGATGCGGTCTGACGGTGACGACAGCCCACGACGATATCAATATGACCCTCAATCTGACGGGCGTCTCTAGTCCCCGGTTTAGCCACGTATTGGAAGTATGGTTCCAGAGCCGGCATGATCTCCAAATCTAAATGCAGTAGCCACATGCGGGCTCAATATCCCGACGAGCCGGTCCACCCACAGATGGTGCCTTGATGGTCCGCGTGGAGTCTCGCTCGAATATCAGCCGAAGTCGAATCCGGCGACATGAGTGATGCATCACGTGAAGTATTGCTGATGCCATGAAGAGCGGGGATGGTCTTGGTGCTGTCATTGGGAGGCACAGAGGACGAACAATTGGACGGTATCTAAGCGAAGCCCGAGGCGCCTCATATGTGCGTTGTACTGACGTGAACGATGACAAGAAATATTCCGCCATCAGGTCCTGCTTTTGTGTGTGGAGTAAGGGCAAAGCTTCGTCGGCTAGTGCTGCGTACGGGCGGAGACGATGAGGTCCAAGTGCATTACGGTCTTTGCGGGCCCCCACTACATCCTCCACCGTCTAGTCTAGTACAATCTACTTGCTGGACATTCTGACACGAGTGAGTAGTACCGCAGACTCGACACTGTGGTCAGTCATCACGGTCACGAATTCTTGCGACCACCACCACTCCTTACGATCTCGCTACACCGCACCGCATACCTCGAGCTCGCTTCGCCGCCGACCAAATCGCCAGCCGCAGACCACACGCAGATGTGGAAGGGCGGCCATCGTAGCGCGCACTCCTCGAGCCAGCGCGCCTGGAGCGACCAGAACCGTCTCAAGTAGCGAGGAACATGAACATCATACAGATGAACGGCGCACATCCGTCAGATAACGATTCTGGCTCGGCCAGCAGCAAGAAGCCGGAAAAGCCACTGCGATTCGTCACAAACTATGGCGCACCACATCCCAAGAGGCGGCGCATTGGAGCTGCTTGTCTGACGTGTAGGAAACGGAAGACGGCTTGCAGTGGTGAACGACCGTTCTGCGATACGTGCAAGCAGAATAAGCTGGACTGCGCGGGATATTCCAATGAGGCTACCACTGGGAGCAGCAGCACCAACACCAGCAAGCGGGCTGAGTCTGATCAATCTCGTCCAGCCAACGAGTCCAGACAGCCTACCTCCAAGGCCAACGACCGCGGAACCCATGATGGTCAATCGAATTCGAGGACATCCTCCACGCAGCATACTTCATCGACTTCTGACTTATCGAACCAAATTGGCGGTGAGCTTTCGCCCGGTGTAAAAGTTGGGGAAGATGCAAACGTACCTGCAATACCCGCGACCGTTCCCGAGCAGCCACTTTTCGCTGGACCTCGCAATCGGATGCCGTACTTCCGCTGGCTGGGACCGACTGCTATCATGCCAGGCTTCAAACAGATGGTCGTAAAGGTCAAACGTCAAGAGAGTGAATTGAAGATGGATCTGTGGTGTGCACCCATCTACGCAGACCTGAAGGTTCTTGCCTGGGCGAAAAGTGTGGAGACCA